TGGCTGCAGCGGGCGCTTTCGTAACAGGACTACCTCGCGTTGGTCGCCTGCCGTCCGCCCGGCGTCAATTCGTTTTTCTGCGCCGGCTGCGTTGCTCATGTATAGTGGGATTCTGTGCAACTTATTGGCAATGGGGCGATATCTCCCGCAGTTCGTCCTCCTTCAAGTGAGCGAATTCTGAAAGGAACTCGGTGTCTCTACGAGCGATTCGCCTCCCCCCCCACCAAACCAAAGCATATAATGTGCTGCCGTAGTGGTCACTCTCTGGCGAGGGCTCTTGCCGCCCAATTGGGGACCGACAGCTTCCCCACTGACGGCGACGCCGGGCACCGAGGCGCCGCGTCGGCCGCTGCAGCTTGTGCGCTCGCCCCGCTTTGGTCAGCTGCGCGTTACTCCAAACGCGCAACAAATTCCCCACGGTAACAAGGCGGGGCATCGCGGTCCCGAGCCGCTGTTTGTGCGTGTCTGCGTCTCCGCCGCTGGGCTCCGGCCCATCGGCGCCGAGCAGCTTACCCAAATGCGCGGCAGCGATGTTCGGCATCGCGGCAGGAGGGGAAGATATATGCCAATGCAACCGTCAGCTTCATTCCTGCCCCTGGGAGGGCGGCCGCACGCGACAGCTCTACGCCTGTGGCTTCTCCCAACCTTTTTAGCCAGAAGGAGTGAACAGAAGTCTGGGTACACCCTTGCGGCGGCATGGTTGTGCTGGAATAAAACCCAGCCGAAAGGCTAATACCTATTATGTAGTCATTTGGCACCGTCTTTCGAGGGTCTGCGCAGCCGCTGGTTTTGCCGGCCGCCTTTTCTGCGAAACCGCCTCCGGCGCACGGCTGTTTATTTTCTCCCTTTTGATGCTCGAACTCGGAAGTTAACGATTTTGTTCTCTTATTTATTGCCTGCCGTTTCTCTTGATTTGACGTTGGCAGTGCATGGTTTGCGGCGGGGCGAGCAACGCTGCGATGCAGAAAAAAAGGATGCGAGAAATGAGTGCCGCGAAAAGAAGAAAAAAAATATTTGTAAAAATATACATATATATCCCAAAATCCAAAAGGAATAGGAGCAGCAAATTGGAAAAGTTCCGATGCCGGGGATCGAACCCGGGTCTAGCGGGTGAGAGCCGCTTGTTCTAGCCACTATACCACACCGGAGATGACGCCGCCTATTCCTTCTTATTGTGAAAGTCGTTTTGCCCTCGGCAAAAAAAAGACGAACCTTGCAAGCAAACCAAAGCTGGGGCGGGGGCGCTTGCCGTTACGTTGCGGCTGCGCCTTCTGTGGACTAAAGGTGTTTGAACAGACCAGAAGAAGACAGGCACCTCGAAAACACATTTCCAGTTTAAAAGGTTTGCGCCCCGGAAGGTGGCGCGGCAGGCCCCGGCGGCGTGCACCGGGCCGTCCCCACTGTTTTTTTTTCCTTCTACATTCCATTTTCGGCTATTTTTTTTTGAGCGTGCGTGGGCGGGGAGGTGGGTTGGGCTTTCGGGCGTGCTCGAGCCGGGCGGCGGCGCCCCGGGCTTAGCGTTTGGGGACCGCCGGGGGATCGGGCGGGCGTGTCGTTCAGGTTGATGTTGGGGGTGCGGCGCGTGAGCTTTGAGGCGTCGTTGCCGTCATTTGTGTGATGTCGTGTGTTTGGTGATGGCCCAATGTGGTTATCGGAGGTTGGTCGCCTCGGGACCGGCCTCTTTTTTTTTTTTATACTGTCGACATTCCCAGACCTGGTTTTGCTAGTTTTCGGTATGTTTTCTATTTGTATTGTAAATGCGTTTTGCAAACCTTACATGCACTAAGTGTAGTGAAGCACTTATTCCGTTTTACCATTTTTTAAAATTTATATGAAATACTTTGCTGGCTAGTGTTGTGTTTCTGTTTATTATTACCAAAAGTCCTGCGTAAATCGTTTGACGCGGAGAAGCACGCATCAATTAATTTACTATCCAAGAATAATAATAATAATATCACCTTCGTGGATCAGCAGGCGGATTGCGAAGGAATGGGGTTCCAATGCGCATATTTGCTTGTTTGTCCTGATTTTTTTCCCTCAGGAAAATTTCTAGTTTACGTTCTGAATTTTTTTTTGTTTATCTGACTTATTTTTTTGCACAATTTTGACGGTATTAACATCAACTTGATGTCTTTCTGTTTGACGTTTACCTAATGATTTTTTCCCCCGTCGGAAACTGTTACAGTCTGGAGAAAAAAAAGGGAGGGGGGGGGTAAATATTGCTACTTTCTTCCGAATGTAATGTGAATATTCCCAAATTAGGTTGCCGTTTTTGCCTTGCAACATATTATTCTTAATTATTATTACTGCTTAGCAAATATATTCTTCTTAATTCTGTTTTTGATGCACGAAAAATGATTTTTTTTCTACCCAATTATATATATGTATAAACGCAAATGCACGGTGCAATTGTTTACTTTTTTCCTACTTAAATAATTGCCTTTATTAATAATCCCCCTTTTTGGCTACGGGCATTAGGCTTTCAAGGGAAGAAATAAATACTTTTATTATAGCATAACTCAAAAAAAACAACAACAACTAACAACGAAGTAAATTGACATTAATGAATACTCAAATAATTGAGTACTTTGCTATTTCGAAGTGCGGTATCGTTAAAACTGAGTTTTTTTTCTAATTTTGATATTTGTTTTTTTTATTCTGACGTTCTTTACTGACTCTTCCAGGGATGAAATATTTGTATTATCGACTTCATCTGCCGGGTCAATTTTTTTTTATTTGGAATTTAACTCTCTTGAATTGCATCGTGGCTTGGATCTATAATGTAAATTGAGCAGCATTCTGCGACACATATTCATCTAAAGGAGTCAATTCAAAATTGACTGATTATTATTATTATTATTTTGCGGTACTTTTACTGCTGCAATAAACGTTCGAGAAACTTTTTCGATTTTCTCATGTAGCTGCGTTTTTTTTTCATGCTTTTTTTTTGCTGATGACTTGTTGACTGGTTCAGTGTTTTTTAAAATAATAATAATAACTTATTTTCCTTTTTTTTTACCTGCAGCCGTATTTTTTTTTCGCTTCAAAAAAAATAACAAGAGGAAATGTGAGTAATAATCTTGGATTATGCCCAATTGGCCAGATTATTAGGAGGGCATTGCTTGAAGGCAACATAACATGTAAGCTATTGGGTCTTTTTATTGGAAATGTATTGTTGCTGTTTTTCCGGCAACGAGGATAACTTTTTTTATTACACGCAATTTGGTTTTATACCATTACTATTACTA